ACAGATTTTCATTTTTGGGTGAACTAACCCTTTAAGAACCAACACAATGAAAACAGCACAAATTCCCTTTAGTGTTGTGCCACACTATTGCAGACCATCATCGCCGTGGCAAAGCATCATGGGAAATCCTTGATGGGCTGATAGTGAGTATTATAGAGAGAATGCTGTTAATTAATATCCTTCTCAAGAGTAAGCGCCGTTTGATTTTGTATAATAGCTTATTAAATGCATATCTTCCATTATCGTTAATTATCTGTAGAGTTGGGGTACTCAGACTCGAGTCCGGTCTCGAGTACAGTTATTTAGAGGACTCGGACTTGTCATGGATTCGGATGCATTTTTACTCGTACTTGACTCGGACTCGAGCCTTTCGGACTCAGAAAATATGTCCGAGTCCAACCGAGTCCAGGGACAGTCGACGGAAATGTCACTGACACGTAAGTGATATTCAGTATTTGCATGTGTTTTTAAGTCTTGTCCAGTATTTGAAAGTTCTCTTAAGTTCTGTTATTGCTACACACTTACACGAAAAGTTGTTAAAATGCCCGTCTTGGAGACTATTCATGTAAATGCAGTCGGTTTTGTCTTAAGTGAACTTGAACAGTTGGGAGAAATACAGATGTGTCAAAACGTTTGATCTATGCGTCAGATTTTAAAGCAACAGAATAAACCTGCAGCCGCCGACTGCGTCATAAATGTTAATCAAACAAAAGAAAAGGAGAAAATCACTCACTGCTCTTAACTGAATCACTTATTAACTTTAATAAGAATCATCTATATTTAATGTATACAGTGAAGATTATTTTTTAGATTTATTACTTCATGAAATGTATGTAGTAGGCTATTTACTAGGCTACTATCTGAAAAACTTAAAAAAAAAAATATAATAATAATAATTTAATTTGTGTTTTTGAGTAATATATTTATTTATCATTTCGCTTGTAAGTAATACTTGGAGTGTTTACTTGCCTTCAGTAAGCTTGAGAATGTTTTATTACATTAGTTTATTATTGTTTTGCTTTTGTATTAGTGGCAGTTTCTAGAGTAAAAGAAAAATCTTTTTTCTAACATCTTTGCGGCAATAATTTTTATGCGTCCAAAGTATTAATATTAATAATTATTTTCTAATAATTCAATGGCCTGTCATCAATTATTATAATTAATCATGTAATTTATTGTAATTAATGTAACTATAAATGCATTCAAAAATAAAACAGGTGTGAGTTGGCTGTGACATATGGAAAGTATATGTAGGGCTTTTATACACAGTGTGTGTGCCATTGTACAGACTAGGTTTATCCCTCACAGCCTCATTTTCATCCAAGAAAAAATGTTAAATGCCCTGTCTAAGGGGTCCATGTACTTTGGCGTACATTCATTTTTCGTTTTTTTTACCAAGAAATTAAAATGCAGTTTCTTCTTTAATGGTTCAAACACTGATGAATAATATAAGCAGACAAAAACTAATTTATATTAACATTATATCAGTTAATGAAATTACGGTATTTTACTGTAAATGTAAGTTAAAACCGTAAAACCTAAAACGTTGCTACCGTATTTTTTACGGTAAAATTCTGGCAACCACAGACGGTTTTTTACCGTTAATTTTACTGATTTGTTTTTACAGTGTAGGGCTTTTATACACAGTGTGATCTTGTACAGACTAGGTTTATCCCTCACAGCCTCATTTTCATCCAAGAAAAAATGTTAAATGCCCTGTCTAAGGGGTCCATGTACTTTGGCGTACATTCATTTTTCGTTTTTTTTACCAAGAAATTAAAATGCAGTTTCTTCTTTAATGGTTCAAACACTGATGAATAAAATAAGCAGACACAAACTAATTTTGATTATTCAAAATTCATATTTCATTAAAAAGCGTAAAAACTATATAACGTTTTTTTTTTTATTGCGATAAAAGGTGCATTTTCTGCTCTTAAGGTCCCATTCACCAAGATACCTACTCCTTTACCCCCACCCTTGAATTTATACATTTACTTTAACGATTAATAAAGTCAAGTCCCGCCCTTTAATTTTTCACGTTCTAAAACCTGTTTCACTCAATATGTCACAATACATAAATCAATTCAGCCATAACTTCTGTTACATGACTTTAAGTTTGCTAAGCAAAACAGGACACTAATTATTAATCAAAAATCAAAATTGCAAGATGCAATAGAGGTTCCCTTTCATGGGAACTTCGAACTGCGTACTCTAGGGGGCGCTATGGGAAACGGTATACCCACGCCACCATGCTGAGGGGAGTGCATGCCAGAACCATGGCGAGCACTAAGTACCAACTCTACCATAAATCAAAATGGCAAGATGCAATAGAGGTTTCCTTTTGTTACATTTAAATGGACATTGTGTTTTTCTAGTTGTAAAGGTTAAAACAATGTTAAGATACTAATAAATAACAGTGTTTCGTTGGACTCGGACTCGACTCAGACTCGGCTGTTTGGGACTCGGACTTGAGTCTGACTCGGCCCATTTTGGACTCGGACTTGTCTCGGACTCGATTGGTTAAAGACTCAGACTCGACTTGGACTCTACTTAGGTGGACTCGAACCCAACACTAATTATCTGTTGCTCATTTCCTTATGATTACGATTACAATATTCTTTCGATTGCTTTTGTCTGTTTGTTCAACATGTTAGAGATGTTGTGTCAGACAATCATGAAAGCAAATGGAAAGGTGATTCCTATTTCAAACTAGCAGACAATACGTACGAATGGCTGAATCAACCAAATTTATTCACCATTAGTCTACAAGTACAGATTAAAAAACACACACACACATACACACACACACACACACACACGTTACTGTACACATTTGTGTCGTCAAATATACTTTGGGTGGGTTGATTATGCTAGAAAATGTCCGAATGGAACCAATGAAAATGCAAAAAGCAACCCATAACCCACAAAGCCAACTCACTGTTTAACTGCAGCTAACCGAGCGTATTTACAAATCACCTACGCCGAATGAAACACTGTCACAGGTGCACTGAAAACTCAGTGACTGGCGTATCGTAGAGGAAACCCAGAAACGAAACAGAGATAACCCAGCTAACAAAGATACTTTCAAAGAATTTTGCTAACGTTGCCATTAAGTTGTAAAAATGTTATTTCTGAACGTTCTCCAAGTGTCCAGTTTTTAATGTTTAAAAATGTTGTTTCCTGGTTGTATGAACGGAAAGGGAACATTCCATTTTGTCATTCTGAATATTACTTTAGAATATTCTTTGAGCATTCTGAAACAAATAGCATCATTTAAAAAATGTTAGATGAACATCCAACCAAAACGTTTAATTTGATAATTTTGCAAACATTACTTCTGAATGTTTTCCGACATTCCAAAGTAACATTTGAAAAACGTCCAACGAAATATGTTTCAGAAAACATTCTAAAACGTTTCAGAAACAAACGTTCCAAGAACAATGTATAAATAGTGTTTTTGTGCTAATGTTTTGAGAACATTATTAAAATGTTTTATTAACATTACTGGAAAAACAACTACAAATTCAGTTGATAGAGCTTAATTTGAAAAACGTTAAGGGAACATTCCATTTTATCGTTTTGCAAACTTCATGGGAATGCTACTTTTGAACGTTCTCTGATATTCAAAAGTAACATTTAAAAAATGGTATAGGAACATCCAACTAAAATGTTTCATTTTATCATTTTGTAAAAATTATGGGAATGTTACTGTTGAATGTTCTCTGACATTCAAAAGTACCTGTTAGACAAACTTTCAACTAAAACATTTCAGGAAAAAATGTTCCATGAACAATGTATAAATAATGTTTTTGTGCTAACATTTTGAGAACACTATTAAAGACCAGATGATGTTGAATGAACGTTCTATTAACATTACTGGAAGAACAACTACAAAATGCAGTTGATAGAGAAAAACGTTAAGGGAACATTCCATTTGATCATTTTTCAAACATTATGTTCTCTGAACATTCTAAAAACAACTAGTAACATTTAAACAATGATAGACATACGTCCAGCTAAACCATTTCAGGCATAAAACATTACACGAATGGTGTATTAATTATGTTTTTGTGCTAACGTTTTGAGAATGTTATTAAAGTCCTGATAACGTTAAATGAATGCTGTTGACAGAACATAATGTTCTCAGATATTCAAAAGTAACATTCAAGAAATGTTTTACAAAGATCCAGCTAAAATGTTCCATTTTATAATTTTGCAAAAATGATGGGAACATTACTTCCGAATGTTCTTTGAGGTTCAAAAATAGCATTTAAAAACATTTCAGGAAAAAAAAAAAAAGTTCCATAAATGCTTTATAATGTTAAAATGAATGTATAAATATTGTTTATGCGCTAACGTTTTAAGAACATTATTAAAGACCAGATAACATCGAACAAATGTTCCATTAACAATACTGGAAGAACAACTGCTGACAGAGCTTAACTTGAAAAACGTTAAGGGAACATTCCATTTGATCATTTTGCAAACGTTATGGGAATTTTTTTAATGTTCAAAAGTAACATTTAAAAAAATGTTAGACGGACATCCAGCCAAAACATTTCAGGAATAAACATTCCATTAATGATGTATAAATATTGTTTTTGTTTTGAGAATATTTCACCAGATAACTTTGAACGAATGTTCTATTAATGTTACAGGTAGAACATTTGTTCATAACTTTTTCAGAATGTTAGCTAAAGTTCTAAAATGATCCCTGTTAGCTGGGAATGTGACAAAGGAAAGAAAAACAATGTCAGTCATTTATTGTGCTTTTAAACCCTTTCCCCACTTCGGTATCGAAACGGGACTTGTTTTGAGAAGAGGCACTAGCTAAAGTGCTTACATCAGTTTATATTCAACTGCTATCGCTATTGTTTAGGACTCAAGTTAGAAATCATAAATCTATATAGGTTCTGATTCACTGTACGTATAAACAGTGCAGGTTTTGCAGCAGTTCTGGAAAAACAGTTTCAGGCTTCTAGTCCAGCATCCAGGCATGAAGCCCTTGCGTTTGCTCTACATATGAGAAGAAAGTCTGGATCCTTCCCAAGCCGACCCGGAACTGATGGAGTGGAAAGCTTGCGCTGGAAGCAGGAACGGGTCAAGGTGGGACGCTTAAAAAAAGAAACCTGTCGAAGTGGGACACTGCTGCAAATTCCTCCAGCTGGATTGTTTGTTGACATCATTAGCTCTCCTGTCTCGCTCTCTCAGACAGTTACTTCAGTCTTGCTGGCGGTTCTGTACTGATGATGGTGATGTCCAGGTATATACTGCAGGTGGTCCACCGTATGCATGCGGCGGCTGGCGAACGCCTGCCTTTTGTTGCCCACCTGCGCGCTGTTCACAGTCAGTGTGTTGTAGGACTCGTTGTTGCTGCTGCTGGGGTGCGAATGCATCTTCATCATTTTGTAGTGCCTGTCCATGACCGGTGTGGTCGGCACGAACATGTCCGTATGCGACAACGCCCGCGACATGGCCTTCTCCCGGAAATCGGAGCGCCGCAAGGACAGCATCTTATCCGGCGAGAGCAGCGGGTCCTGGGAGTGCAGTCGGTCAGTCGACAGCAGCTGCTCCTCAGAGAGGATGCGTCCGTGGTACGGGGACAGACCGCCGGCACCGCTGCTGTACGATCTCAGGCCGTAGTCCCGGTGCGGTTTGGAGCGGGCGGGCGAGAGCACGTGGTCCTGGGACATGGCGCGCTGCACGCGTTTGGGCTTCTGGCGCTGCGCCGGCGGATCCACGTTCAGCTTGATCATGTGTGTCTGCAGGTTGCCGCCGCGAGGCGTCGGATCGGGTAAATGATGCTTTCGGATGTAGTACTCGTCGTCCTTGCCGCCTGAGAAAGAGAGAGCAGAGCACTGTGGTTACCGGAAAACTAAAACTACTGAAAAACATTTATGCTTTATCAAATACAATAAACATTAATACTAAAATACGATTTAAAAATTTTTATCTTATTTTTTCAGTTAGTTGCCAAGGAAACACTTGTCATTTTTCTTTAGTTTAAAACTTAAAATAAGTAAGTAAATAAACTAAAACTGAAATAAAATGATAAAAAATTAACACGTGTGTGTATATATATATATATATATATATATATAAAAACAAAAACACAACACAACTGCTGAAAATCATTTGTGATAGTTGAAATAAAATGGACATTCACTGAAATAAAATCAAATATAAAAACTTTTTATTTCTGTTAACATGTCCAATTTAGAAATGCAGTTTAGTTTAAGTACTAAAAAAAGAAGAAGAAAAAAACATATAAAAAAAAAACATAAATAAAAAATTCTATATTGAACAAGAACAAAAACTAATGAAAACAACAGAAACACACGAAAAATATGCTTAAAATTAAAATGGAAAATATACAAATGTAAACTAATAAACAAATAAATAAATAATAAATACTATTATACTATATTAAGTATACTAAAATAACACTGGATCAGAGTCAAATAAGCAGAAAACAAACACAGAACAAACTCTGACTGATAAGAACAAAAGTCTGTCCTGAGTTGAATTTTATTACTTAGAGTTTGGAATAAAAAAAATGCAACTGATGCCAAAGCTACAAGTCCAGCAGAAACTATTTTGCTGATGGAAAAATGCGGCACTAAATTGTTTTTTTATGTCTTTGTTTCCTCACTTTCTCAGTTTTTATCGCTCTGTTAATCTTTTTCTTGTTTTTCTCAACAATGGCTCAGGAAACACAAAGTCGGAGTCGATGCTGCTATTATGAGTCTCTCCGGATCAGGGATATGTGTGTGTGTGTGTGTGTGTGTGTGTGTGTTTATGTGGGATGTGTAGAGTTTGTTAAGGAGCAGATGAACTCAAGAAGAGGGCATTTCTCCTGAGATGTTGCTCTAATTTTTTTCTTTAGTTACTCATGAAGCAGGTGTTTGGGATGCAATCCTTGATGATTATAATGATGATGATGATAATCATAATAATAATAATAATTTTACTATTATTATTACTAAATAAAATATTAAAAAATATTACTATTGTAATTATACACTGTAAAATAAAATGAATATTTATGAATGATAACTTATTAATGATAAATTATTATTATTATTGATATTATATTATTATTATTATTTTAATACCCAGAAAATAAAATGAAATGTTTACAAACAACACTATATTAATACTTAAACACTATATTACACTATATTAATTTAAACGTGTATTTTATTTCCCCCTCACTCCACAACAAATAACAAATATAGTTAATGGTATTCAGAACAGAACAAGAATGAAAAATATATGTATTAAAAGAACATAAATTGTAGTAGCATTCATTATGAACAACATTTTATATATATATATATAATTATAATAATATATAATTAATCTTATCTATATTAATATCTGATCTATATGCTTTTTTGTCACACCTGAATTTTGTGTTAACATTTTTTAAGTTTTGGCAGTCCAAGCAAATTTGGACTCAAGAAAGGTTCATTTATCACACTAAAGATTAAGTATATTAACTTCTAACTGTAATGTAAAAAAAAAAAAAAACTTGTCCAAAAAATGAAATCAATAAATTTAACAACTTCTTTTACTAGCTTGTAGTGTAGCTAACTACTTTTCTAAAAGTTGTAACTACTTGAACTGATGACAAGCTCCAGTTTTTAAGTCGCTTCCCCAAAATCGATGACATAATTTCCTTCCTGAGCAGCAGTGGACAGAGACTGCAGCTGCAGATGAATGTGTTTGTGAGCGTTCAGTATGAGACCAGCTATCGATTCTCCACTGAACTGTTTATCTTGGAGCTAATGAAGACAGGTTCCGATAGCTGGCCGGCTGGTGTAGTTCAGAATTACCATCACTGACAGCGCAGGCTTCTGGCAGACGCCGATGTGAGGGCATGACATTAGACGTGAAAAGGTCAGGCGAACTGCCTACGGGCCAATGGTCACTCCGGACCCCAGAGCTCAATTATCCGCTCAGATACGACGGCTTCAGATCAGCATGCAGTAATGCAATCTAATGCCACAGATGTCCAATATGAGCATCCGGGATGAAGTCCACTGGACGTACCATCACAAGAATAGGATGAATGCTAATCTCTCAGGTCAGCTACAATATGAGCCAAAGGGAGCAACCTTTTTATTGTCTTTCTCTTATTTATCATGCTAAATAACTCTTTTTTGCTTTCTCAATCTTTGAGAATGTAATTTAATGTTTATTTATTAACAGACGACCCATAAAAGCCAGTCGTTCCCCTGTAAATGCTGTTTGAAATTTTTAATAGTTAAAGCTAATTTTGCATATTAATCCTGTAGAGCCTGAAAATAAATAAATAAATATCAGTCACTCTATATTTCCCAATAATATATCTTAGTAAGATGATAGTTTTTATGATCATCTCTCAGTCATCAAAGTCAAAGTCTGCTTTATTGTCAATTCTTCCCCATGCACAGCACATACGTACAGAGAATTGAAATTGCGTTACTCTCAGACCATTGGTGCATACAGATAACACAGTAGAACGTAAAAATACAGATAAATACAGATTAAATATATATATAAAATACAACTATACAAATATACAAATAAGGACATGTAAAAAAAGATAAATAAAGCAGCACAAGGCACATGGCAGATAAAGTGCAATCCAGTGAAGTAAACAAACAGTGCAGATATAATGACTGTAGTGCAAAAGAGCTTATTCAGTCTGATTAAAGTGACAAAAAAGCTCAGAGAGCAGTTCTTTATTTAAACTGTCAGTAGAGGTAGTTGAATGTGGTCAATGCTGAATGAGGTAGTGAGCAGACCAATGCTGCACAAAGTGACTGGTGCAGGTCACAGTGTGTTAGTGGGAGGGGGCAGTGGAAGGACCTGGGGTGGGGGGCAAGGTCGGGAGGGAGTTCAGCTTCCTGACTGCCTGATGAATGAAGCTGTCCTTCAGTCTGCTGGTCCTGGCCTGGAGACTCCGCAGTCTCCTCCCTGATGGCAGCAGACTGAAGAAGCTGTGTGTTGGGT